GACTTACTACAGGCCAGCCTGGCATTAAGCAGAAATAGCCAGAGCCCAGGGACACAAAGAATCTGGTGACCTGAAACTTGGGCTCAGAACTGGGGTGCAGAAGCAGAGGGGGGGGCTCAATGTAAGAAACAAAACCTCTCTTTCTCAGGAGTGGTCCACTCCATCTCCCATCATATCTCCCTCTGCCCAGTGCCACCAAGAGGCTCCTACAATAACAGGATAGTCATTAAGCTCATTCTTGTTTTTTCTCCAATATATACATGCAAGTTTCCACAGTAAAGGCCCCAATCCAGACTGGTATCCTCCAGATTTGTTTGTTTATAATTTCTATTTATAAGGCCACCCCAACACAAAACTAACTCTGGGCATTTGTTCAGTCAACATTTATTTAGTTGATATAACTTCCAGAATTTGATATAACTTCCAGAATTTGATATAACTTCCAAATTAGCCCAGAAATCTTACTTCTTTATGAACCAACTATCATATAAAACAATAACAAGCCAGCTATAATGAACAACATATCCCTTTTTAGGAGCAATAAGCTTCATAGCTTCCTTTCCTATTTCTACTTGCGCTTGCCTACCTTCAACCCTCCCACCACTGATCTTGCTTTGAAGCTCCCCTCCCAAACCTGAAGCACCTCACTGTCCTCTTTCCTGTATTTGTTTTCTGTTAAAGGGAAAGGGAAAATACCTGCATATGGTGCCAGCACATTCACCACCTCAATTCGGTCAATATAGATCATGACACCACCACTGCAAGAAGATAAGAAGAAAGATCAGTTACACTAGCAGAGAAAGCTCTTCCTTCATTCATTGCACATACATATTTGCAAGGTTAACAATTATCCAGCATGTCCTCTTTTGACAAGACAACTTCTCTGGCAGCAACACACTGTCTATGCAATAAGGACTATAAACTATCTGCCTCCAGACCAAAACTTTTGCAGAGAGTCTTGCTCAGCAAGAACAAATGAAGGTAACTTCGTTACTAACAAACATTCTGCTGAGACATTCTGAAAAAAACCAAACTGAAGATGCAAGCTGGGGACTGAACAGCTGTGATCAAAAGATTGCATGGAACCCTCCTTGTACAGGCAGTCCACAGGTTAAGAACATTCAACTTACGGCCAATTTGTACTTATGAACAGGCTGCCTATTACTAACAATGGCAGATGTTGTTCTCCTTCCTCAAGGTGACGAACTGCTGAAGCCCCACAATGTTTTCATGAACTGCTGAAGCCGTGCGTTTTTAATATTCAGCCTGTTTTCAGCAGTTTTTAGTGGTTCATAAAAACATTGCATGGCCTCAGCGGTTCATCAGCTCAAGGAAGGAGAACGTCATCTGCCACTTTTAGTAATAGGCAGCCCGTTTGTAAGTACAAGTTCCGACTTACATACAAATTCAAGTTAAAGACAAACTTAGGAATAGATCTTATTCTTGGAGACTCCCTGTATACATCCCTATACACAAAAGTTCCTTTCCACCTGGTGCCCAGATCATATGCAAGATGTCACAGCAGCACCACGTGACACAGGTCCAGTTTATCTACTTCTAGAATAGGGAATGAATCTCCAATCTGTATCACTGAGCATGCATGTAATCATACAGTAATCAGCCAAGTGAACCACTACAAATAGAAGTCCTGATGTATTAACATGCTGACAGCTCAGTTTGAACACTAGCCTCTGGCACACTTAGCAGCATGAAAGAAGAAATGCTACTTACCATAACCATTAAGTAAATGCACAAAAAGTAAAATAAGATTCTGAAGTGGATCCCAATTGGTGGGTCTCTGTTCCTTGTACTGTCCACATTCATCTGTTGCTATAGCTACAGATAGTCCTCGACTTACAACCACAAATGGGAGTGGAACTTCCATTGCTAAGCAATGCGGTCATTAGGCAAAATATCACATGACCACACCACTTAGCAACAGCAGTTCTAGTAGTCCCAGTTGCGGTCATTAGTCCAGGACAGCGCCGTCATTAGGCAAGTAATTCACACTTCTCCAGCCCTGCCACGTTCACCATCACTTCAACTCCTCCCACCTGCCTATCTCCCTGCATTTTAGCTGTGTACAGCAGCATTCCTTGGTGGCAGCAGCAGCTCTGGGGCTGAATTAGAGGCCTGGGGCCTTCAGCAGTCTCAGCCAGCCGCCACCGCCCCAGGCTTCCACTTCAATCCTAGCACAACCAGCACTGCTGCTGAGGAGTGCTGCCTCAAGCCCCGCACCACGGTCAGCCACCACAGCACCACAGCACAAAGCCCCAGCTGCCCCGCCACCCTGTGTTCCACAGGCCCTGCCACGCACAGGTGACCTTCACCGTTCTCCTCCTCTGAAGAGGTGTGCCCAGCCTGCCTTATGTGAGGCAGCTGCTGGCCATGCCAGCCCTTCTTTCCAAGGCACTTGCATTGTTCTTCAAATCACGCACCCCATTTCCATGCTGCTTTGGAAAACCTTTGGAAAGATTCTGAAGTCTTCCAAGGCATCACAAGAATGGGGCACACCTACCATTCTCCAATTGTGCACCCCATTCTTGAGGTCTTACGGATTTTTTTTTTAGCTACTAAAGCAGTCAAGTCGACTCTGTACTCATCTCCTTTAACAGGAAAGGTTTGCATCTTAAAAACTATAGTTAAAAAGACTTCTTTTTTTTTTTTTGGCTTTAAAAATTAAATTTTATTTTGTTTATCTTTGGTGAGATTGGTCTTTTTTCCACAAAGGGAAAAAAACGGTTGAAACCTCTAGTCACACACCTCTAAGCCGTTCAGTAAGGAGGTCGCATTATAAAAATTACTTCCTTTTTTCCATTTTTACCAGAAGGAAGATGTTTGACACCTCTACCCTTCCACCCTATGGGCTCAACCATTCAACTATACATCTCGATGTATTTCCCAACTAGGCCAGAAACACAATGTGAACTACAAAAAGACAACATACCTTGTCCCACAAGGCACATTTTTCACTTCATCTGTCTGCAGTGTTGTCTGAAAAAAAAGAACACAAAATTGATCAGCAAAGACACTGCAGAGTGTAACATTTACTAACTTAAGAAATATTGATGACACAAACTGAATTTCAGGAACGTTCTGCTTATTTTTGGAGAAACAATTTCAAAACTTCAGTCCCACAGAGCTACAAGTGCTCCCACCACCATCTCCAACATCTGGCAGGAATTGCAGTTCATTTTTGACATGAGATTCAGATCAAGAAACTGGGGGGGAGGGGTCAGGGGATTTTTAAAAATTATATTTATTAACAATTTTCCCATAGAATAAAAGAAAAGAAAAAAGAAAAGGATATGCAAAAAAAAAGAAATAATTTAAAGTTAAGGAATATATTAGTGACTTCTGACCTTCTTTTCAACAGGTAATGACAATCTTATTATCCCTCCTCCCTGTTAGATGTTATACAAGTCCCTTCAGCCCCTCATTTAATCCAGGGAGACAGGGAAATTGCTAACAAAGAACTTGCCAGATTGGGGTTTTTTTTCTCCTTATCTTCAAGCAACTAGCAAAATCAAGCATGCAAATGAGAGGTATAAGCTTATTTACAAGCATTTATTTGTACTGCAAGGTTACTCATTACATACATCTAGTAACATATTACCTTTTGGTGGATTTTTAGTAATGGCGGGCTATAATTGCAAGTATGAAAACATGCAGTAGATTCTGCCCTGACACTATCCATGTGGTGTGTGAAAGACAAAGGCAGCCCTTTTGTCACCAAGCCTGCTTTCCCTCCCTCTGTTGTTTTCTGTCCCAAGCAGTTACACAAACCTGTACTGCTCTGTAAGTTGTGAGAATTGGGAGCATGATGTGATAGCCTGGTCCACTCAGGGTAGACAGCAGTGCACCTCCCCTGCAATAAGTTATATACAAAAGAGAAAGCAAATAAACATGGACAGAGGTCAGAGAGGACAACGTTTAAAACAACAGCCACAGCAAACATTCGTTTCAGCTGTCCAACTCACTTTCCTAATACCACACTCCAGTGGTTCAGTGGCAGACAGCTGAAAATTAGAGAAAGAGGGGCAACCTTACAGGTGCAATTTACAAGTTGCCTTCTGCATGCTACCAACTTAGTCTGGCTCTGGCCTTTTCAGGAGCAGAGCAAAGCAAAGGGTGAGGGGGCCAATGCTGCTTCACACCCTTTCAGGAACAAAACAGGAGAGCTGCCCTTTATTTCTGAGATAAGGTGTTGCTAGATGGAGCCCTGCTTGTCTTAGGACAGCCGTCTTCCACCTGGGACCATGCAAAGGTACCTGGGACCACAACACTCAGTTTGGGCTCATGCATCATGCTAAGCTACCATGCGCTTGGTTAACCACGGCTTAGCACGGCTGTGAACCCAACCAACTGAAGTTGCTTAATAAACTACAGTTAAGCAAACCAAGACCGAGCACCACTACACACACAGCCTCCGAACCCCAAGGGCGAGCTTGGAATCCTGGGAGTTGTAGTCTTAACGCAACTTGAGGACCAGTGTGGGACAGGGTGGCCTAGGTACTTGCCCGGAAGGTCTCCACCCAGGGCAGATGGACGAGCACTTGCGGGATCCAGAGCGAGGCAGGCACCGCGCCCCGCTAAGGGGCTTCCATCATCTGCCCGGAGAAGGAAGGAGGCTCGCAGCTTCTCGGGACGGGAAGAGAGGGGCCTAAGCCACACGAGGGACCCCGTCGCCCGGACTCACCTGTAGTAGACAGCCAGGTGCCCCTCCTCCACCTTGTGGACCGAGGCCCAGAGCAGCAGCGACAGCAACAGGCTAGCCGTCACTGCAGCTGAAACCGCCGGCCCGCGCCTCCGGCTCCACGTCGGGATCCCGCCGCTGCTTCCAGGCATCCTCCCGCCGCTCACACCCCGCAAGTGCCGCCGCCGCCACCGCGACGTCGTCGCTGCTGCTGCTGCATGTAACGGAACGGACTCTCCGCCTGCCCTCGCGTCTTTCGCGTTTCCGGCGGAGCGGTTTGCTTGTTACACCGCGCGGGGGGGGGCGGAAGTGCTTGCGAGGTGCCGCGGTTGTGATGGCGCCGGAGAAGCCGTTGCGTGTGTGAGGAAAAGCGTGAGGGGAAAAGCGGGTGGCCAGTCTCTTTCCTTAACTAAAGTGGGGAGGATGCGGCGGGATAAAAATCAAGCTCCCGATCTTAATGGAAGCGTAAAAAAGGCCGCAGAGGACTGAGCTTTACTTCCTTTCTCTAGAGCCCACTGGTTGCTTGGAAGGGTGGTAGTTTAAGAGCAGCGTTTCTGGTCTGCGATCAAAAGATCCCAGGTTTGGTCTCCATTTGGAGCTCGAAAACGACCGGGAAAAGCCAGGCTGGGTAGGCGAACGATGTGGCTCTGGAGCATAATAGCCACATCTGAGATATGCTTCAGTTGCAGTTATTAAAGATCCAGGAGCCCACGTGTTTCTTGGCCTCTGGCTACCTGAGGGAATGGAAATGTTTCCTCAGTTCTCTGGCTCATGTCGCTGCATCTCTTCAAAATAGTTGCTGGAGAATCCTTTCATCAGTAATTTTGTAGATTATCTTACCCCCATGTGCCCTGTCACCGTTTGCTGATACAGGGGATCTTTCTCTGATGGTGACACGTTTGTTTCTTTCCTTAGGTTGGCCTGTGGAGATGTTGAAGGAAGATTTGAAGCTTTATATGCCAGAGTTCAAGCTGTTCAGAAGAAAAGTGGAGCATTTGATGTAAGTTTGTCTTCATAGGATAACATCCCTCAAGCACTGTGGCTTCAAACTGAAACATGCCTCAGTTTTATATAGTCCTTCCAGCCTGTCTCAGTATCTGCCAAATGAGGACTCAATCCAGTGTTATGTCAGCACTGGATTCTCTTCTCTTTCCAGACCATTGCCACTTCATTTATTCCACCCTTTGATGAACCTGAGAAGCTTCATAGAGGAGGTGGAACTTCCTACCAGCAGTGGCAGTTCCACTAATGGAATGATACTGTGGGATACAGTTCCAAAGCTGACATTCTGTGCAGCTGATCAAAACCACTTGCTACAATATATCAGAAGATACAGATAGTTTTTAGATACTGCACAGGGTTATTTGTATCACTGCAGCAGATTAAGCTGATATTTTTAATCCACCCAATAACCCAAATTCTCTTGGTGAATTACAACTGATTTAAAGCATATTTATGATAAAACAATAAAAATGATGCACCATTTGAAAAAAAACAACAGCAGCATGCATTACAGAGAAAATGCACAAATAAAAGTATATTAAAGCTACCCTTGTTGAATTAATCTGCTTGGCTAGCTTCTGCTTGGCAAGACAAGAACATTTCACTATGCCATTTCAAAATTTGTGGGTTTTTTTATACTTTTAAATATTTTAACCCAAAGATCCCTGGTTTTGTCCATATAGATTTTTCAAGTTAGCTGAGCTGTTGATTTTAAAATTAGTTTTTTATACCTCTTTAGCTGAAATTGCTAAGAAGTAATTTTAGAAGTAAATTTTTATTTCTTCCCCAAAGGGGAGAATATTGAACTAAGTATATGTGTACCATAACTCCTTTCTTTTCTAAAATTAAACTATATAGTACTGATAAATACATACAACACTTAAATGGCCTTGCTGAAATCGCTAGGACGGCCATTGCGGTGTCCCAGATTAAACATGCAAACCTAATGCTTTAAAGGTGAGGTATTTCCACCTTGACGAGTCTGTTTTGGTTATTCTAATCAGTGTTGTAAAATTGTATAAAATGTTCCTACAGCTCCTTTTGTGTGTGGGAAACTTCTTCGGCTCTGCTCAAGATTCAGAATGGAAAGATTATCAAACAGGAGCAAAAAAAGGTAAGGAAAGTAATTGTCCAGCAGGATCTGTTGGTCTTTGCAACTGCGATGGCTGGTCACGTGGTAGAACCCCTTTCCCAAATCTGTCACTGTAGCTTGTACCACATTTTTACTGATGTGATTAGCCTATATCCGGGCTGTAATACTTGAAGAAAGTGGCTTGCTGACACGTCCATAACAAGTAAATATTTTTCACCATAGGAAGTTTGACAAGGGGAAATATTTCAGCCTAACTTTTGCTACCTGCGCATCAGAGCCAATACTGTTTGAGACAAATTCTCTTATTTCTGTAATCTCTTTTGGGCTAAGGCTTTTTCTTCCACCTTTGTGAATCAAAATATTTCTCTTCTATTCCCTGCTCCCACTGATACTTTGACAACAAATTAAATATGCATACTGCTTATTTTCATAAAAAATGAACATTTTATTGCCATAATGTAACATGTATAATGTAATATGTGTAGCATAACATTTTACATGAATAACTGTACAATTTTTGTTATTAAATCACTTATTCACAGGTATGCTCACATAGGATTGCAACCTCAAAAGTATAAATGTTTCAATTTGGTTTAGGCAAAACTGACTGTATTAGATACACAGAGAAATAGAACAGCAGATTGCTGTACTAGCTGGAAATGAAGCACATTAGTTGACTTCTGTCTACCTGGAAAAGTAGGAAAAAACCTTTCAAAATAGAAGCCACACATTTTTGTAGTGAACAGAAGAACGTTTATTATTTGGAGAGTTTCCTGTAGCCACAGAATTATCAGCATGCATGAATACCAAATTCCAGCTTTTACCAACATTGAAAATATTTGAGTGTGACCTACTTCATATGAGCCATTGTAAGGAGGCTAAGAAATAAACAGGAGGATTTTGAGACATAAATAATCCATAGATGACGGAGGAGTTCATTAATAGTTTATCTCACAAGCAGCAGCCAGTCCAGCTTGCAAAAAGAAACCAAGAAGAAAAATTCAAAATATTGAAAGAAGCTCCATCTTAATGAACTCATGAATAAAAGAGGATTGGAGATTACTGCATCTTACCCCTAATCCTTGCATTTTGGTCCATATTGAAGTCTAAGTGATGCTTGCTTGCTTCCTTGATTGTGCCTGGAGGGACAGAGCTTGACAGCCCAAGGGCCAGATTATACCATCTTCCTTCTACCACTGATAAAGGGAGTGGAAGCATTTGCTTCATCTTAATAGAAAAGAAAGAAAGCCTATTTTTCTTAATGGAGAAACACACTTTATGCAGAATAATTCAGTCCCCTTCCCCCACAGAGTTCTGCTTCCAATCATTTGGGACCACTAAGGGGAAAAAAACTTTAATGCTCCCACTTAGAACAGTTAGAAGCCAAGTTATTTTTTTCTACTGTGTTGCTGTTCACAAATACAGAGAGGATGCTTTTAAGTAGCAGATAACAGGGAAATCATCACTACCATTTGCATGAAGCCCAAAGATTCTTCATCATTGGTCTACAGCATATTCTAGAATTATTTTCTAATGACAAGGAATTTCTTACATAAAAATTAATCTCATATATGAAACAAAACTTTGACTTAAAACATTTTGCTTATTCTAAATAGAATACATTTCTATCCTTTTTTTTCTTTAATCATACTTTTTTGGGGGGGGGCTTTCTTCCCTAGCTCCTATACAGACATATGTTTTGGGTGCCAATAGTGATGAAACGGTGCATTATTTTCCTGACGTCAGTGGATGTGAACTAGCTGAGAACATCACTTATCTAGGTAACCTGAAAGTTTTATTTTGGTGCAGTTTGGTGGTGTAATTGTGAAGCAACTAAAATTGGAATTTCTGTCTTCTCCAAGGTATCCGTGCACACTTCTCTGTGATAATGTGGTAGGCATTTCCTAGGCATAGTTGATAACTGGCTCATATGATTCCCGAGGTATTAAGGGTTTGTCAAGCCCCTAGGAGGCATGAAAGAGCCGATAGCTGCTGGAATTGGGACTATCTTTGCATTACTTCTTCTTTGTTTGAATAATGTCCTTTTTTAAAACATCAGGATGTGACCTTTTTGAGGTATCCACAATTGTTTGTTTCCCCATTTCCCCCAGATTGAGACATCTTTCACTGTAGTTCTGTCTAGCTTATATGCAGTTTGGAAAACTGCTGACACCTGTCCATGCCTTGGAGACTATGGAGAAGAAAAGACATTTTGTTTTTGTATGCTTCTCATTTTGACTAGTTTCCCTTTTTTGAGTTCAGTATGGAAAGGAAAGTAAGACTTGGGTTCATCTAATCTTGTAACTCCAGTCTGTTCCTAAGAAGAAGAAATGTGATACCTCTCCAATTTTTTCTCTGTCTGACTCCTTATGTGTGCTAGACTGACTGACACAGTGGCTGAGTTCACATATTATGCTAAGCCAGAGCACAAAACAGTTCAAAGATGTGTGGATTTAGCCACTGTAACAGTCATATAGGTATTCACATGTGTCTTCTATAAGGACTGGACATGGGGGCAGTTCAGTATCTTTCAGCACAAAGCAGAGATACTCCCCTATCAATTAAAATTCCTGTCAGTTTGGAGCTATGTGTTCTTTATATTTGAGTGTACAGTATCTAAGACCTGGAGCCATTGTTGAAGTGTGTTTCCTACAAATTCCCTGGCCTGAATCATGTTCCATTATATGTATAGGACGTAAAGGTGTCTTCTGTGGAGCTTCAGGACTTCAGATTGCTTATCTCAGTGGAGTTGAATCCACAGAAGATCCGGCTCTTGCACACTGTTTTAGCGCTAAGGATGTAACTGATCTCAAGACTTCCTTGCAATCCATTTCACAATTCAAAGGTGTGGACATCTTGCTCACCTCTTCTTGGCCCAAGGGTGTAGAGACCTTTGGCAACAGCCCAGTAAGTAGCGCATTGGAAGTGAAAGGGAGTTGTATGACACGATTTATGTCTTCCACAAGACTCATATTCTGCATCTGGAGTGTACTATATTGGCAGTGAGTGTAAACCTGATCTTTAACATATACCTAGTGGAAAAAACTGGCTGTAAACTTGTGAAAAATGAAACATAATAATAATGATAATGATAATAGTAGCAGCAGCAGCACATGGTAAAATAAAAGAATACTAAATGCAGATCAAACACAAGAATATAGGAAGACTATTACTCTGTTTTCAGTTATCTGAATATTCTAAGAGGGTTTTTTTTTTCCTTTTTGACAAGTCCAGTACCCATTCTGCTGTTGTTTAGAAGAGCTGTGAAGACCTGGCCCTTCACCCAAGCTTTGGCAAGGAAGAGTGAGACTCTTAGCTTCATCGCACTTGCCATCTTTTATCATTATTGTTATTAGATTAGAGAGAGAGATTGATTCCCTCTCACCCCTCTGGGTGGTATGTGTTTTCCTCAATCTCGGGTCCTCTACCAGAGGCCTGGGAGTTTGAGGGGTGGTATGTGTTTTCCTCAATCTCGGGTCCTCTACCAGAGGCCTGGGAGTTTGAGGGGTGGTATGTGTTTTCCTCAATCTCGGGTCCTCTACCAGAGGCCTGGGAGTTTGAGGGGTGGTATGTGTTTTCCTCAATCTCGGGTCCTCTACCAGAGGCCTGGGAGTTTGAGGGTTCTGTGCAGTATCTTAGCTGTTCCTAGTGCTGCACTCTTCTGGACAGAGAGCAGTGATGTTGCTCCTGGGATCTGTTGAAGCCACACTCCCAGCTTAAGGAGCCACAGCCCCAAGTGTTCCTACCACCACTTGGACCACTTTGGCCTTTCCTTTCCACATCCTCTCTAGTTCCTCCTTCAGGCCCTGGTACTTCTCCAGCTTCTCATACTCCTTCTTCCTGATGTATATATATATTGTCTCAAGAGAAGAGAAAAGAAAAAGTGGAAAGTAAAGGACAAAGTGGCCCCAGTGGTGGTAGGAGCACTCAGGGCTGTGATTCCTTAAGCTGGGAGAGTGGCTCCAACAGATCCCAGGAACATCAGAGCTCTCTGTCCAGAAGAGCGCAGTGCTAGGAACAGCTAAGGTACTGCGCAGAACAACTTAAACTTCCAGGCCTCTGGTAGAGGACCCGAGATTGAGGAGGACACATACCATCCATAGGGGTGAGAGGGGATTTTTTTAATTTTTATTTTATATATAAAAAACTCAAGGCGGCAAACATGCCTAATTCTTCTGCCTCTTATTTCCCCCACCACAACAACCCTATGAGGTGGGTTGGGCTGAGAGGGAGCAACTGGCCCAAAGTCACCAGCCAGCTTTCATGCCTAAGGCAGGGCTAGAACTCACAGTCTTCTGGTTTCTAGAACCACTACACTTAACCATTACACCAAACTGGCTCTATTTTTTATGTTTCATTGATTTGATTGTAATTCTTTGTTTAATTGTTGTGAGCCACCCAGAGTCAGGTGGCACAGCAATTTAATAAATTATTGTTATTATTATTATTATTTGATTAGGCTATGGAAGCCTTGTTGATATGTTTTCTATATATAAATCCACAAGCAATAAAAGTTAAATATTTGTGTGTGGCTTTTTTTACAGGGAGATGTGAACTCTAAGAAATGTGGTTCAGGATTAGTATCTTTTCTGGCTGCAAGTCTAAAGCCCAGGTATCATTTTGCTGGTCTTCAGAAAATCAACTATGAAAGACTTCCTTATAGGTATGTGAATCCTTGAATAATAACTGCTGTTCACAGTAAAGCTGTTTCTAAAACTGCAGCAAAGTTGTCCCACTACCTATGTTAATGAAGTGATTTGCATAAATATAAGGGCATAAAAAGAGCTATGCTAGATCAAATCAAAGCCCATCATGTATTCTGTTCCCACAGTAGCCAACTAACTACCTATAGGAAACCCACAAGCAAGATTAGAACATGCCAACACTCTTTCAGTCATAACCCAGGAACTAGCCATGCGAAGCATGCTGCTTCTGATATTAGAGATAATATATAGTCATTATAAATGGTAACTTTTTATAGTCTTAGTTCCCATTCTTAAAGGGAAGTAATTTCTTCCCATAAGCAACTTTTTATGGAATTTGTTAAACTGTATATTGACAATTCTGTCTGGAGTTCATGTTGCACATGGACACCTTATACAGACTAAAGTTTCCAGAAAAAGGTAAATTTTCTGGAAGAGTTGTCACATCTCTTTTCTTAGCGACAATTGAATATCTTCCAGATCAAGGGATTTTTTTTTCTAAAGTCCTTTGTTACACACGCTGCTCCCAGGTTCGGCTTATGGTCACTCACTCACACAGTCACAGCTTGTTGAGGCACGCAGATCTTGTCAGCCCCCCTTGCATT